TCCCTGGACAGTGCTAGGAGGTGTTTTTTCATTCCTTGAGGACCTTAAAGGCACAGATGAACTGGGGCTATCAAGTTCCCATCTACCTAAATATTCCAATTTGAACATTTTTGTCAACATGTAACAAGTTTCTAATTCTGGCTGGGCTGGTGATATAGCACAGTGGTCAAGTACTTGCCTAGCAAGTGTGAGGCCAGGGTTTAATCTCCAGCACCATTCAATCAATCAATCAGTGGGTATGGTACACACACCTGAAATTCTAGCTACTAAGGGAGGCTGAGGCAGGAGGATCACAAGTTCAAGGCCAGCCTCAGTAGCTTAGTGAGACCCTGGTCTCAAAATAAAAAATAAAAAGAACTGGGAATGTAGCTCAGTGGTTAAGTGCCTCTGGATTCAAACCCAAGTACCACAGTAAATAAACAAAACAGTAACAACCATTTTCTGAGCACTATCAATGAGATAAGATGCTGGGGCTTTTATATATATTATCTCACTAAAAACTTCTTTATGAGATACTTATTTCTACCTTATAAATAAGAAAATGGGGGGCTTGGAAAGAGTCAAGCAACTTCAGAAAGCTGGTGGTAGGTCCACTATGTACTAGATGAGGGACTTCAGTCAGGTAACCTCTCTGGGCATCAGTTTTCTCATCTTTAAAAGGGGACAATCACACAGCAACCAAATCAAAAGGCTCTCATGAGGATTATTAAACCAGTTATCACGTCCCAAAAAAAAAGGTAGCTCCTGGCATACAATATTGAGTGCGGCTTTCTCCAGCCATAGACTTCAGGTCATGGACCCTTCCCCTAAACGTCCCCTCGACTTCTTCACATATGCTGTTTTTTCAGTTCACCACTGACTCACCGTGCCTGCACGTGTTTACCAGTGTGAAGTTCCTTAGAGCAGAAGTTCTATCTTCAGCTCTTTGGGTATGAGTCGCTGACTCATTTGATAAATGTTAAGCCAGGATCGTTACCTAAAATTAGTCATTTTTATAGTTTGCACTTACTTAAGAAAGCTCCAGGTGACTATTTCAAAGTCATTTGGTATTCTTTTCCTGTTTACTGAAGTGCTGACTTCTAAGAACAAGTGAAGGTCTAGAAAGCTTTCTCATCCCTAATTTTGCAGGCCTTCTTCCTCCACCTACTCCTTTCTCACCCATCATTTACAATAATGCTGCCATAAATAGGGGCCCCAGAGCAGTCAAAGTGACCTTTAAGTACTATATAAAATGTATGGGTTATTATTATTCATAGTAATACCGGCAGATCTTGACTCTGCCAGTAACTACTAGCAGGAACTTGTCCATTTATCGCAGAGAGGCACTATTTTCTCTATCCCTTCCTCTTCTCTTCTTCTGGAAGGAGAAATGTTGAACTTCACAGGCAAGGGACCCCATATAATCCCTCAACTGGGAAAAGATGGAAAATGTCAAAGTTGTAAATCAAAGAGAGGCTGGGTGGGTAGTTTCAATACTGGAATATTCTGAGGTCTTGGGAGATTTAGGTTTAACAAATGGTCAGAATTCTTTCAATTCAAGGATACTGGGTTCTCAGAAGCCTAGGAAAGATAGGAGGAAAATTGGCCTTTTGACACAATGCCTGAAGCAAGTCTCAAAGCTGTGAAAATGACCTACTCACGGGACCTACATCCTTTTCTACCCTTACCAGTCTAGTTCTAGCAAAACTCAGCTACAGATTTATAGTAACTTGAATGACCCTTAAGAAAATCAAAGACTGGGGACATTGCTCAGTGGCTGAGCATGTGTTCAGCAAGCATAAGGTTTGGATTCAATTCCCAGGACTAAAAGAGTCAACAGACAGGTAAAAGTAGTTCCCATTACTCTCTAGTCAATGTTCAGAATTTATTAAAGAGAGCTTCCAGCCAGAATCCACCCTGCATTATGCAGATGTTATTACATGGGAGAAAAAAATAAGAGTGGTAACACTGTGGGCCCCAGAGAGCAGTCCCATCTTCTCCCAAAGTCTACCCATCACAAGAGGCTTCTTCTCTTTTTGAAGTGCTGGGGATTGAGCCAAGGCCTTGTGCATGTGAGGCAAGCACTCTATCCACTGAGCTCTATCCCCAGTACCACAAAAGGCTTCTGTTATGTCTTTTTTCCATGTGGGAATTTAGGGAGGGAACAACTCCAAAAATGGACTCTATTTTCCCACTCACTGTATGCACATGGACCCATTTATTCTGGTAAGTAATAATGCTATTCTTTGCCTCTTTTTTTTTGGTCTTTTCGTTTTTTTGTAGATGAACAGCACACCTTTATTTTGTTTGTTTATATGTGGTGTTAAGGAGTGAACCCAGTGCCGCACATGCTAGGCAAGCCCTCTGCCACTGAGCCCCGGCCCTACTCTTTGCCTCTTGATGAAGGGCATGGATGCTGCCAGGTGAAGCTGGAAGCAACAAAAGGTCAAGGTTACTTCACTTCTGTTCTTTCCAGTGTTGCAAATACAGCTGTGCTGTGCTAGATGCATTTCAACAAGAAGACAGAAGAATGAGACCTCTGAAGGCTCTTACAGCATTAAATTTCCATGAAATATTATCTGTGTTGAGATTTGGAGAATAAATAAGATGTTTTGAGGTCTGAGTTCTCTGACTTACACTTAAGAAACTGGGAAAGACATTATTGATTTAAGACAGTGGTTTTTAAACTTTTAAAGTAGCAGATAATTTTTCTTGTCAATGAAAGAAAAAAAACATCTTTTTTGTTTAATGGTGCTGGGGATGGAACCCAGGGCCTTGTGTATGCTGGGGAAGCCCTCTGCCACTGAGCTACATCCTCAGTCTGTAACTGAGATCTTACATGGGACCTCACTGTATGAAACAGGCAAATGTGATGCTCCTCTGGCTGAAGCTTGGGTGAGGAACCAGGGGCCCCAACCTCTCAGCTCTCCCCTCGCCCTTTATAGGATCTGCTGCCATCTCTGAGGAACACAACTGGCGGAAAGGGAAAGAAGTCAACATTTAGACAAATTAACAAACAAATACATTAAATGAATGGGGAAGCACTAGTATGGCAATATGTAAATCAATGGATGTGTAACTGATGTAATTCTGCAATCTGTATATGGGGTAAAAATGGGAGCTCATAACCCACTTGAATCAAAGTGTGAAATATGATATATCAAGAACTATGTAATGTTTTGAACAGCCAACAATAAAAAATTAAAAAAAAAAAAAATGAATGGGGAAGAAGGGAAAGCTTTTCCTTCCCGTGGAGGAAAAGGATTTGGAAAATCACAACTTTGGACCAATGCAGTAAAGACTGGTTTGAGCAAAACTCTTCCATGAGTGCTTAATTCAGGAGGGAAAGTTTGGTAAGAAGCAGGAAATTTCTGTGACCTTCATACAGACAGACTGCATATAAGGGATGAAACACTGGTTATAAAGAGGCAAATGTTGCTGGTCTGTAGACTTCAGAAATGTGAATGCCATGTAAAAAAAGGAAAAGTGAGGTTAGCATGCATGAGGCCTGAGGCTCAAACCCCACCACCAGATGATACAATAAAAAATAAAGAGAGGTACAACTAAATTCAGTATATGATTTTTGACTAGGTCATGTACTTGAGGGAAAACATTATTGGAATGCCTGATATTTGGAATATGGATTATCAGTTTGAACAGAATCATCATTATCATCATCATCATCATGGGGACTAAACCCAAGGGTGCTTTACCACTAAGCTACATTCCCAACCCTTTTTATTTTATTTTGAGATAGGGTGCCACTAAATTGCTTAGACTTGCCTAGAACTTGAGATTCTCCTGCCTCAGCCTCTGAAATCACTGGGATTATAGATGTGGGCCACCTTGACCTGCTGCATCAGTATTAAATTTCCTGAATTTGGTAACTGGACTGTGGTTATGGTCTAAAGAGGACATGATATGTATGACCTCAAACAGTTCAGGAAAAACAACAACAACAACACAGTACATTTATATACAGAAAGAGCAGTAGAAAGCAGGGTCCCAAGAGGAGCATTGGCATCACCCCAGAACTTTGTTGGAAATATAAGGTCTTAGGCCATTTCCCAAACCTACTAAATCAGCTGTCTGGGGTAAGGCCAATAATCTGTTTTTTAATTAATTTTTTTATTTTGGCAGTACTAGGAATTGAATCTAGGGGTATTTTACCACAGAGCTACACTCCCAACCCTTTTTATTTTTATTTTAAAATAGGGTCTAACTAAGTTGCTGAGGCTAGCCTCAAACTTGCAATCCTCCTGCCCCAGTCTCCCAAATCACTGGAATTAAGGTATGCCCCACTACATTCTTTTTTTTCCCAATAATCTTTTTAGTTCTTGATGGACACAATACCTTTATTTTATTTATTCATTTTTATGTGGTGCTGAGGATCAAAAGCAGCGCCTCACACATGTTAGGCAAATGCTCTACCACTGAGCCACAACTCCAGCCTTCCAGTTGTTTCAATAAGCCCTCAGAGGCATACTGAGTTTGAAAACCACTGGTACAGAGAGAATGAGAAAACATACAGTAAAATGTTAAAATTGGCGGATCAGGGAAATGGGTTTATGGGACTTTTCTGTTATTATTCTCAAAACCTTTCTGTAGATTTGCAATCATTTCAAAATAAAAATAAGCAATAGCAACAACCAAAAATCACCCTTGGATAATATCTGGAGGGGGGCTGGGGTTGTGGCTCAGTGGTAGAGCACTCGTCTAGCACATGCGAGGCCCTGGGTTCGATCCTCAGCACCACATAAAAATAAATAAAGGTATTGTGTCCAACTACTCCTAAAAAATAAATATTAAAAAAAAATCTGGAGAGTTATGGAGAGGAGAAGGGAGACACTGGATGTAGGGAGGCAAATCAGAAAGCTACTGCAGTAAGTGACACAGGAAGTGATAGAATTTAGAACTAAGACTACTGTAGTCCCAGAGCAGGGTGAGGAGCAAGCTATTTGCATAGCGTTCAAATGACAAATCTCCTTCTTGGAAAAGATTTGGGCACACAGGACACTAACCAGAGTAGGAGAGTCCAGCGATCTCTATGAAGAGGTCTTCCTCAGAAAAGCTTTCGGGGAGCATGAGGAAAGCAGCAGTCACAGCACTCTTCAGATTTTTATCAAGCGCTGACCTAAGGATGACATTTTCATTCATTGCGATAATTTTCACCTGGAAAAGGCAAACATTCAGAAGAAAAATTTTAGAAGAGGAGTATTGCTCAAGCCACAGGTTGACACATATAGCTGGAACCATCCCAGATGCCGACCACTGAGGATCTTGGAATATTAGTTTGGTTGACATGAAATGATTACTATTCTAATAAGTAATCCCAAAATCTCCTCTTATGCCAAAATCAGAGAAATCATCACATAGGAAGGGATCATAATGCCAAAGAAAACAAAATTAATATTCTTTTTAAATGAGGAAACTCACCACAGGCTTTGAAAAAGAATAAACATCCTTTGGGAATATCAATATTTTTATTTTTTCATCTCAGTTTTTAAATTTTCTAGTGAGAGAAGGCATTTTCTTTACTCAGAACTCACCTCTCTTCTTGCCCACAAATAACCTTTATGATTTTTAGATACACAGATTTGAAACTCGGTGAAGGAAAATGGAAAGAAAATTAGCTACAATTGAAAGATCATGGGTTTTAAATATAGATCTGGGCTCAAATCCAGGTACTTACTAACTGTGTGAGTTTGGGCAAATGACCTAACTTCTCAGAACTTAAGTCATCATCTATAAAATAGGGATAACAGATTTGTTTCAAGGAATTGTCAAAGATTAAAAACAACAATAAATGTAAATGTTTGAGTTCATGCTTTGCTCAATACAAAGCATTATTCTCCTAAATCCATGTCAGAAGCAGCTCTTTGACTATCTCCAAACCCATTAAATACATAAGAGCTCCAGTCTGTTCTCAGAGTCTCGGTTTTTAAAAACAGCAAGGTAGGGCTCGGGATGTAGCTCAGTGGTACAGTGCTTGCTTTGCATGTGTAAGGCCCTGGGTTCCAGTTACACACACACACACACACACACACACACACACAGACACACATACCCACACAAAATGCACTCTAGTTTAGAGAATATGTTCAAGTCTCAGCTCCATCTCCTCCTAGCTGTGGTGATGGGCATTGCTCCTTATCAATAAAATGGGGTTAACAGACCAAATGAGATACGGTACACAATATATTAGCTGAAGTGAGCTTCCTTTGGTGTGCTTTTTGGTACACAGGCAATGAGTTTCTCTAAGCCAGAGGTTTTTATCTTTGCTAGCATTAACATCATGGGAGAGTTTATTAAAACACATAATAATGGGTCCAAACCCCAAAGCTTCTGATTCAGTTGCCCTGCAGGAAGGTTGAAAATGTATATTTCTAACAAGGTCCTAGAAAATATTGAGGCTGTTTTGGGTTCAGGGACACCTCCCCCCCCCCCTTTTTTTGTATTGGGGATTGAACTCTTGGGTGCTTAACCAATAAGCCACCTCCCCAGTCCCTTTTATTTTGAGATAGGATCTCACTAAGTTGCTGATGCTGGCCTCGAACTTGTGATCCTCCTGCCTCAGCCTCCTGAATTACTGGGATCACAGGCATGCACTAAAGTGCCCAGCCAGAGACAAAATTTTGAGAATATTTTAGCCATTCTGCTTAGAAGGAGAATTACCAAATTGCTCTTCAGAATGGTTATATCAATTTATATTCCCACCATAATCTTTTTAAAACATCTGCTACTGACTGATTTTCTATACAAAGAAAAGAGTCTAGAAGTCCTTAATAAGGACTCATAGATATCTGAAATGTATCAACTGTCTTTAAACAACTTGGTGTTGTTGATAAATTTTCCTCCCATAATAGAAAACAGGGCATATAAAATTGTCTTTTGCCAAATAATAATGCATGATAAATTAAGATGGCATACAAAAGGCACACTCTAAGAAACTCCAAAATAAAGTTCTACTGGAAAGAGGAGAATGATGTTATCCTAAGGTATAGTTTTTTGTTGTTTAAAAAAAAAAAGTGGTAGCACCATAAGACATAACTATAAATCAAGCTTAACAACTTAAATTCTAACTTTTGCCTTGTGTTATCCACCTTTTTTCTAAGGGAATATTTCCAACATCTATACCTCATATATGATAGGTAAGCCACTTGGTTCAATATCGCCTCCTCCACCCTTATAATTATGAAAACTTAATAGATCTTAATTAAGCCTTTCGGCTTGGGTGAGTTTAGTATCTTTGCCATCATCTACAGAGTATAACACTGAGGAACAGCCCAGGAACAAGACTCGCCTAAGGTTGCACAATGAACCAATGGCAAAACCAGGGCCACACCCTTGCACTATGCAAATCAAGTTCTAAATATTTTGAGTTATTATCATGCATTCAGTTAGGGATGTATTCTGCTTGACTTATTTTGACAAAAGTTTAAAACAATTTTTTTTTCAATGTGGAAATTGAACTGGGGATTGTAAACATGCTAGGCAAGTACTTGACCACTGAGTTGCATCTCCAGCTCCTGAAATTTTAAGATCCTACAACACCTTAGAAGTAAAATTTGTATTCCATATGGAATCAGTGATGTAGGAAGGCAACTTCCTCAACTTATTGGTGAAAAAACTGAGGGCCAGAGAAGTCAAATATCTTTCTCTAAGAAGTGGCACAATGGACCAAGTGAGGTCCAGTCCCCTGATGTGTCCGCTGTGATATCATTCGGCTTCCATATTCCTACCCTTCAGTCTTCATCCTGATTCACCAGTCCTTCTCGATAATTATTCTCTCTCTCTCTCTCTGGCTATTACAGAAACCCAGTGAAATCAGAGGCTATTTTGAGACGCTAACAACTCAAAGAGGCAAACAAAAGAATAAGTTTGGAAGATTTTCTCCTAGTTAACAGAATAACCAATTGTTCTCCAAGAAATCTGTTCTACTTAGGTTGTAAGAAAGCAGTCCAGTACTTAAGATGAAGAGAGTGCAAATAAAAGCATCCTTACTCAAAGGGAAAACGCGAATTCTGAAGGCTCTGCTACTGTGCTGATCTGGTTCTTCAACGAAAGGTGAACTAGGAACTTGTCTCGGCAGCACTGTTATTTGTTGTTTAGAGTGAAAAGCCAGTGAACGCTTGGGGCACTGCCAGAGAGGCCTGGGAAAAGAAGAAAGTCCTCAGAGTTGTGAATAGCTGTTTGTACCTTACTGGGAATGCCCTGACCTGAACGGCATAGATAACATTAGCTCTACTGCCAGGGTGCAGATCTTGACTGCAGAGAGGAAGGGGCAAAGCTCGGAGGGACTTTAAAAGGAGAGATTTGTGAGTACCTTTCAAGACAGAGAAAAAAAGAAAGCCACTCTCCATCTCTGTAACAGTCACTGGGAAAGACTACTTGAATTGTGAAGAATGAAGTTTCAGTTACAAAGAAGGCAACCCTACCTAGTGCTGAACTACTCAACCGTTGGCCAGAACTTTTTGATTCCAAATGGTCAGGAGGGGTGACTCTTCTAAATAGTCACTGCTTGAAGATGAAGAAGGGCGGAACACAAGAATGGGATCAAACCTTATCTACCTGCTGGACTGGGGGATCTTCAAGGACAAATAATGTGGGGGTCTTTTTTTTTTTTTTTGGCATGCACAAAGAAGAACCTTAGTTGTCTTTTGAATAACTAAATGAATGGCTCAATCTTTGCATTTCAAAGGCTAGAAAACCAAAGCCTGGCTCACAGCAGGGAAGAGCCAAAACTAGTAAACCAGGTTTTCCAATTCCCAGTTCAGGGATCTTTTATACCAGGGGGATTTTTCCCATTTGAAATACATAAATAAATACAACTATAATATGGTGATAGTTACAGGACTGTAAATATACTAAAAACCATTGAACTTTACACTTTAAATGGTTGAATTATGGTACGTGAAGTGTACCTCAATAAAGCTATTACAAAAAACCAATGCTGCATTACTGGCTGGGGGTGTAGCTCAGTGGTAGACACCTTGGCTAGCATGCCTGAGGCCCTGGGTTCCATCTCTAGAGACCTGAAAAATAAAAAGAAACTTCAAATAAAATTATCTATACAGGGCTGGGTTGTGGCTCAGTGGTAGAGCACTTGCCTAGCACATGCAGGACACTGGGTTCTATCCTCAGCACTATATAAAAATGAATAAATAAAATAAAGGTATAAAAAATGTTAGGGCTGTTGTTGTGGCTCAGGGGTAGAGTGCTCGTTTAGCACGTGCAAGGCCCTGAGTTTGATCCTTAGCACCACATAAAAATAAATAAATAAAACAAAGGAATTGTGTCCAACTACAACTGGAAAGTAGATATTTAAAAAAAAATTTTAAAATGTTACAAAATCATCTATACATGAAAAACAAGTGAAATACAAAAATCCAAAATTATGTCAAAGTAATTAGGGAACTGACTTTAACTTGCTTTAGTGTTTTGTTTTTTTTTAAGTTACAAAAGACTGTTCACATGTTCTATTAAGTAATTTAAATTCCATGGTTCTTCACTCAAAAAATATTTGCAGGGCTTGGGATGTAGTACAGTGGTGACTTGCTCAGCCACACACACACACACACACACACACACACACACACACACAAACACGTGCGCGCGCACAGCAAATGACTAAATGACTCAGAAACTTAAGTCTGTACTAGAAATCAAAACATGGTTATCTCCTCAATTATAAGGTAAGTTGCTAGTAAAGTATAACAGAAATTTAATTTTAGACTCAACTTTTCCCAGAAATGTCCATCTTTTTAACTCCTGTATATTCCTTTTAAAGACTTAACTTGCAAGTAATTGAGGAATTCTATTTCAATTTGCAAAGTGCAAGACAATTTTGGAGTTTTAGACAATATAACAATGTAACTGTTTTTAAAACATAAAAACAAAGAATTCATACTCATTCTCATAATTCTTAAAATATCTACTCATTTTTCTTGTTGAAAATGCTGCCACCCTTTCATCAGATTTGCTCAAGTTTGATTAATACTTGCTGCCACCTAGAGGGAAAAATGGTTGTAGAAAGACTTACCACTGAGAAGTCTGCTTAACTGATTTCCACAGGAGTGGAAAACTGCGGGCAGGAGCAGGAGGGTGGTCACTTTACCTGTTTATCATTTTCACTTTTTAAAAAGATAAGTCGTTTTTTTTTTTTTGGTACCAGTGATTAAACCCAGGGGTGCTCTACCACTCAGATACACCTCCAGCCCTTTTTATTTTTTTCTTTTGAGACAAGGTCTTACTAAGTTGCTGAGGCTGGCCTCAAACTTGTGATCCTCCTGCCTCAGCCTCCCAGGTCACTGGGATTCAGGTGTGAGCTACCATGGCAAACTTAAGACAGTTTAACTTTCTTTTGCTTTTTTTCCTGGTTTTTTTCCCCCCTTTTTGGTGCTTAGGATGACTGAACCCAGAGCTTTGCACATGCTAAGCAACATGCTCTCACAATGAGTTATGTCCCCAACTCCCTAATTTTTTTGTGTTAGAAACTTAATAAGCATGAGAGATAATCATTGTTATCAATGATATTTTATTCTCTAAATTAGCCAAGAAATGCACAGTTTTGTTCAAGGATAAGTGTAGCTGCTACTCCTTGTCTTGGACTGCTTTTATTTTACAAGAACATATGACATTTAGATAAATTTTGAGATCAGTCCATAGGATGTAGCTCAGCAGGTCACATACTTCGCATGTGCAAGGCCCTGGGTTCAATCCCCAGAACAAAACCAAAACAACAAAACAAAACAAAAAGGTAATTTCCAGTACTTACATTCTTAGATTTCAGGGCATCTCAGGTTTCTAACACCTATTTTTTTTTTTTTAATTTAAAAAATTCCAGGCATAAAGTATAGGACAGAGAATAATGCAATATTTTTGTATTTGATCTCAACATAACTGAGATAGCCAGGGATGAAGGGAAGGGAAATATCATTTTCTGAATGGTTCTGAAGTGTCAGGAATTTCAGAACCCTTATCCACAGATGAAAATATCCCAAGGTGTGAGGGACTCTATAGGTGGCACAGGGTCACAAGATTAGTAAGGGTCACAACTGAGATCCTAACCTTAGCTCTGTCAGACTCTAACTAAAATGCCCATGTTCTTCCCAACATTAATACTCTGTTTCCAATTTTCAACACCTTTGTGGCATTGGCAGGGTAAGTACTATTATCCCTATTCTACACATGAATTGACTGACATCCAGAAAGATAAAACCAGGTGCCTGAGTTCCTATAACCTCCTACTAAGTGGTAGGAATGAATATGACCGAATTCTTCTATTTCCACATTCATTTATCTTCCTATCAATAACATATTTTAAAAATTATAAAACCCTTAGAAGTAAAATGAATATTTATAAATTTTCAATTGCATTTATTTGCTTAATTATGAGCTTTACCTGTTATCCAGTCTAAGAATGAGAAATTCATCTATAGATATTTGAAATTATTTCAGTAAGCCTATTGTTTCTGGATGTTTAAAAAATGTATGTATGGGCTGGGGGTGTGGTGTGGCTCAGCGGTAGAGCACCTGCCTAGCATGTGTGAGGCGTTGGGTTCCATCTCCAGCACCACAAACACAAAACAAAACAAAAGAAAAAAGCACCTTGCAAATTCTTTTGTTTGTCAGGCACGAGAAATCTTTTCTTTTTCTATTTGGGGCTATTTATGGATTACAGTGATTTGGTAAAGTATACTCTGAAAGGAAATTACAACATTTTCTTTTCTCTCTACTTAATCATCCCTGCAAAATTTTAAAATTTATTGGTGAATATTCTTATTTTATGGTAATACAGTTATTTCCTTAGGTTCAATAAGAATCTGTTTCTCGGGCTGGGGCCGTAGCTCAGTGGCAGAGCACTTGCCTAGCATGTGTAAGGCACCGGGTATGATCCTCAGCACCACATAAAAATAAAAAAAGGTTAAAAAAAAAAAAGAGTAAAATAAAAGCATTCTGTCCATCTACAACTACATATATATATATATATATATATATATATATTTTTTTTTTTTTTTAAAGAATCTGTTTTTCTTGGGTGGGGGATGTAGCTCAATGGTAGGGCACTTGCCTAGTATGTGCAAGACCCTAGGCTTGATCCCCAGCACTGCCAAATAATAAGCATAATTATAAAATGATTTTACTGAAGGAAAATTTATAAGTGTACATATTTGAAAGATTTGGCTTGATAAATTTTTACACATGTGTATACATGTATAACATGCTCAAGTATTTCTGCATATTTTAATGAATTATACTATTTTTTTCTGTTTTTTATTGGTACATATTATTTATATAGAACGGTGGGTTTCATTGTGGTATATACATTATAAATAAAATGTAATTTGGTCAGTTTCACTTCCTAGCATCCTCCAATCCCCCGATGCTTCTCTACTTCCTCTACTTTAGTGGTCTCCCTTCTGTTTTCACGGAATTCTTTTTTTCTCCCAGTTTCATCCCTCCATCTTTCATATATGAAAGAAAACATATCTCTAGTTTTCACATATGATACTTTTCTCTGTGAGTCTGACTTACTTCACTCAAAATTATGATCTCTGGTTCCATCCAATTTCCTGCAAATGACAGAATTTGTTCTTTGTTGGGAAGAGTCTTACTCTTTCTGAATAAAATTCCATTTACACTACTAAATTTTAAGCCCAGGTTCAAAGCAAGAGCATCTTGACAGCCCATATACACAAATAAAGAAATTTTTCTGACACAAACCAAATGAACTATGACTGTAGAACTCTCTAATTTTTCCCTATAGCTCACTATAAAAGGAGGAAGGGGTTGCTGTTATGGGAGATACCTGAGAACAACCCATCTGCTATTTTTGGAGCCTAAGACCCTGGTCAGTATAATGAAAATTTTCCTTGGGAGCTGTGTGAGATTGACAACTGTGACTAGTTAGCATAGTTCTTTCTTTTGCTGTTCTGGGGATTGAACCCAGAGGCACTTTACCACTGAGTTACATCCCCAGCCCTTTTTGTTTTTTATTTTGAAATTGGGTCTTGCTAAGGTGCTGCAGCTGGTCTCAAGCTTGTGATCCTCCTGCCTCAACCTCCAGAGTTATTGGGATTCTAGAAGTATGCCACTGTACCTGGCTCAAGTAATTCTTAAAAAAGAAGCTTTCTCAGAAAATAGGCCATACTTTTGAAAAAAAGAAAAAAGATGATAGTTGCAAACACTTGTTAAAAGTTCAAGTTCCTTCCCACTTCTTTGTCCCTGTTCCTTTCTATCAACGCCATGGAGAAGCCAAAACCCCACAGTCTCTTTCAGGAGCATCCCCAATGAGGTAAGAATATACTGACAGGACATCACCAAGGGCCTCAGGAGGATAAAACAGGGTCCAGAATACCATTCTCCCCTGGAATGATGGCCTGACTTGTTCATTCACTCAACAGTTACTGACTGCTTTCTGTGTGACAGACACTGTCCTGTCTTTTTTGAGGAGACAACAGTGGACACCTGAGCTTCTAGAAGAGAAGATGATGATGTACATAGTACTGACAGAGGTGCCACTAAGGCACTGGACACCTTCTCTGCCAACTCCCCAAATGGACTGACCCTGCATCTGAGGGGGATAATTTGTCTTTTACTCCCAGCATCTGACACCAAATGTGTGGGGCTTTTTCTGTCACACCAACCAATTCTCCAACTTTTTGGACACCAGTTGTGTGTCCTACAATAGAATTTAATTTTGATATTATCTATCTCGAGCTATATAGAGATCCCATAAGTTAGGGGCTCAATCCCACACAACTAAGTAGCTGTAAATTTCCATAATCCCTTCCTCTGGGTTAATAATTTGTTAGAAGGGCTCACAGAACTCAGGAAGGCACTTTACTTACTATTACCAGCTTATTCTAAAGTATCCAACTCAGGATCAGCTAAATAGAGTGATGCAAGGGTTGGGGATGTAGCTCAGTGGTAAAGCACTTAACGTGCAAGACCCTAGGTGAAGCATGTGAGGAGGAGAAGGAGGAAGAGGAGAAGGAGGAGGGAGGAGAGATGAGGAAGGAGTAAGTAGGGGGAAGGAGTATGAAGAAGATAAGGAAGAGGGAAGAGGGGGAAGAAGAAGAAGAGGAGGAGAAGGAAGAAAGGAGGAGAAGGAAGGAAGGAGGAGAAGAAAGAGGAAGAGGAGGAGGAATAGTAGTAGTAGTAGTAGGAGGAGGAGGACAAGGTATCGTTGGGTGGGACTGGGAACTGAGCTCTGCGCCCACTCTAAAGACCCCATCCTCCCAGCACCTTAATGTATTTATTCATCAACATGGAAACTCTCAGAACTCTGTTATTGAGGGTTTTATGGGGGTCCCATTACCTAGGCATGACTGATGAATTCACTGCCATTGAGAGTAACTCGATCTCCAGCCGCTCACCCCTTCCCAGAGGTGGGTGGAAAATGGGAGGTAGGGATGAAATTTCCAGCCCACTAAGCACATTGGTGGTTTCTCTGGTAACCAGCCCCTGTCCTGAAGCTATCTAGGGCCCATCAAGGGTCACCTGGGAAGGCTGGGGATGGGGCTTAGTGGTTTAGTGCTTACCTAGCATGCACATGCATGAGGCCCTAGGTTCAAGCCAGAAGGAAAAGAAAAAAAAAAAAGAGTCCCCTCATTAGATGAAATCAGATATGGTTGAAAGGGACTTGTTGCTCCTAACACTTAGGAATTCTAAGGCTTTTAGGAGCTCTGTGCCACAAGCCAAAGACAAAAACCAACCACATATTTCTTATTATGTCACAATATCACAAAGTAATATTTGGACATTGGTAATGAATTTTATAGGTAGAAGGAGGAGGGATCTAATAGGCATTTCCATTTCTAGAGTTCCATCTCGTTGCAATCACAAGGATCAAAGTCAAGTCAGGTTCAGAGGCACCCTAATTATGGCAGCTTAAAAAAACACACACTCACCGGTTTTTGGAGGCGTCCAGCAATGTATAAGTTATTCCAGTTGAGGAGATCTTCAATTAGAATACTGGTGCTAATAACCCCATATTTGATAAGCTGAAAAAGGAAAGAAATGGGTGAAAAAAAAAGCCAAATATCAGGTTGTTGCTTATGCAAGTACAAAACATCAAATTCTGGACAGAAGTACGAGCTTGATTTCCAAAGTCCCTCAAAATGCCTTCCATGGGAACACCCAAATCTCCACCAAAACTCTTTAGAGGTTTAATGTCCAAAACTGATTTGGAACTCAGATATAGTTCAACGTATAGTTCAAAGTACAGGAGGTGAGGTGATCACAAACTTAGGTCCATGTGATATTAAAGGCAGAATGGTTCTTAGACACCATAATGGAGTCATTCTGCAAAAAAAAACAAAACAAATAAAAAATAAATAAACTGGTCCTTTCCAGTTTGAGAAATATTGACTTACTTCATGTTCTTCATCTGAGAAATAAAAAGCTGAGGCCCAGGAAGAATAAATTAAACACCCAAAGTGGCAACAGTACTAACAGAGTTAAAACTAGGTCCTAGAGCCAGGCATAGTATGTACCTATAGACCCAGATATTTGGAGGGTGAGGCAGGAGGATGGCTTGAGCCTGTAGTATGGGGCCAGCCCAAACAATGCTGAGAGACCCTGTCACTCTCCAAAACAAAACAAGGCTGGGTATATACTCAGTGGTGCTTACCTAGCATGCATGTGGCCCTAGGTTTCATCTCTAGTACCACAAAAACAAACAAATAAGCAAACTAAATCCTAGAATTCCAGTTCCCAATGTTCTTTTCATTGCAAAATAATAGAAAGTTTCTTTAATTAAAAGTTTTTACTGATATCTTTTACATAGTCAATTTCTCTGTTGCTGTTGACTTTGAAAGGCTTATAGTTACAAAGCAACATCCCCAAATAAAACCTCTTTATCAGTACTAAACACATGGAATTATGGTCAAGTCAATTTCCATAATAATTTGTATAAACCCTGAATGTAGATTTCCCAGGTTACAAAGTCCTATTTGTGTTAACAAATACCTTCAGATCCACTTTACTCAACTTTGGTATCCAAATAGCCTTCTCAGGCTGCACATATGTAAAAAGTATCTAAAGAATTTCAATTAAAATGTACAGTCCCCTTGGTATACAATTTTGCCTAAACCTTTAGTTACTGGAGCTTGTAATACTGTTTGAAAGTTACTAATTAGAGATAGGCTCAGCATAATATTAATTATGGATAAAGTACACAGTTATGTGTTTTGCATGAATAAGTGGAAGTGGAAGGTTGGGCTGAATAACTACCTTTTCCCTCCACTACGCCACAGGACTGCAGAAACCATTCTTCCTACAGACAAGTATAGCTGGGGGGCAAGAGGGGGGACAGTAGAAACAGCACAAGCCTATAAGTCTGTCACTAACTAGGTACCTGACCTCTGGAAGGTGTTCTCTCTAAACCTTCATTTCCTCATCTGCAAAATGCAGGCGCAACTAGGTGTAGTGATGCACACCTAGAACCCCAGCTACTCAGGAGGCTCAGGCAGGAGGATTATAAAGATGAGGCCAGTCTGGGCAACTCAGCAAGAAGCTGTTTCAAAATAAAATTTAAAAAGAGGTGAGGAAGTTGCTCAGTGGAGAGTGCCCCTGGGTTCATACCTCAGTACCATATAAAAGGAAAAAAAAAAATGCAGGGGAAGCAGGATAGGACCTCAACCAGAAAAGCAAACAGATGGCCTTTAAGGGTTTACAGATATCACCAGTTGATCACAGCACTCATTCCTCAGCCAAGTCCAGATCCTTCTCAAGTCAGTATTCCAGTCTCCTGCCCTTTAACACATGCTCCTTTGAGCAATTACATGAGCATTACCAGACAGCTTGTAAAATATGCAGCATCTCAGGTTCCATCCCAGACTACCCAATCAGAATCTGCACTTTAAAAGATCCCCATGTGATTCATATGCCTGTAAGTATGCTCTAAAAATCAGCAGGATTGTCAGTCTAGCAAGTGAAGCCCATGTCTCAATCCTAACCCAACTAATCTCCAGGAGGCAACTGAGTTAGATCCCCACTGGTCTTCACATTCTGGGGATCTACTTAGCTCTTGACAATCCTCTTAAGATACTGGAATGCTTCATCTGGTTTGCTTTTTTTCTTTTTCTTTCTTTCTTTTTTTTTTTTTGGTAGTGCTAGTGCTATAGATCAAACTCAGGAACTCATACATGCTAGGCAAGCACTCTACCACTAAGCTACAACCCTCTGGGTTGTTTCTCCTCTAAAAGATAGGCAAGAGTCTCTGATGTCAGACAATCCCTCTTTGGGGACCTTTGCTCTCTAATACCCCACACCTGAATCCCACTCATGTGCTAACACCAAGAGGTTCCTGTCTATTACTTGGTCTCACAGACTACCAGCCTCTCTTGATGCCCCCTTCACTTCCAATTTCTTCCTGGGGGTGTCTGTTCCTCCTTCTAGATAAGACTGATCTCCACCCTGATCTTGAATAGGGCTGCCTATTCCTCACATTGACCAAACCATTGGTTCTCAAAGTGTGGTTCCTAGACCTGTAGTTTAAGTGTCATTTGGAAGCTTGTTAGAAAAGCAAATTCTCCAGCTCCAACTAGACCTACCGAATCAGAAACTCTGGGGGTGGATCCCTGCAATCTGTATGTACAACAGATTAAAACTTGAGAATCACTTGGCCAAAGGCAAAAAAAAAAAAAAAAGCAAGTAACATTCAATCACCTTCTCACACTTCAATCACAATGAAGGGGAGTTGAGGACTCCAGTGCCTGCTCTGTCCCTGGGTTCAGAACATCCAGCAGGAGTGTGACCCTTTCCCACCTGCACAAACATACATATTTCACTGGTGCTCTTTTAACAAAGGTTAATAATCAACCAAGTTAAGACAAAGGGCCAACGTCACTTACCCTACCATCACACATAATCAATGGATTGTAGTAAACTCCAGCGCCATAGTTATCCTGGACAGATGTGATAATCTTGGGCCCTAAAACTTTTAGAAATGAGTAGTGGCTCCGATTCTTTTTCAGGTTTTCTGAATGCCATGCAATAGGGTCATCTACTGTGAACACAAAATCCAGCATTGCATTCTGTAAAGAAAAGAGAATGAGTTCATTAATTCCTGGAAAAGTGGCTAGATGGAGTGGAACCCTCCCAAATACTGTGCTATTATGATTAGCAGAAGATCTAGGGTCTCCAATCTCTGAAAGCAATGTGAGCTTTGTTTTAATACAAATACTAATTTAATGTGTACTATGTCAGCACTTTATATATAATATATACAGCAACTTACTTTATCTTCACAATAATTCTACAAGGTAGGTACGAAATTATTCCAATTTTATAGGAAAGGAAACCAATGTCCAGGATAAGCACTGTGCCTTGGTACACAGGGCTAATTAGCCACAGACCTAAGTAGCATGGTAATAAATTCTGTGTGCTGAATAATTGTGCTACATTACCTTTCACCTAACTGCAGTTAAATGTGTTCCACTTTTCTTCCAGAGCAAAGATCACTTGGACAAACTCTACTAAGTGGTATGTAAAAGGAAATAAGTCATTCACAACTACTAATAAAGTACCTATGAGTTCTGATGGGTCCTAGGGTAGATTCAGTCTACTGGAGGAAGTAGACGACCTGACAGAGGAATGCATAATGTACTAATGTCACTGAAGAGTGGGGGCAGATCCCTAGTGGCTTAGAAGGCTGAGGCAGGAGGATTGCAGGTCCAAAGCCAGTTTCAGCAACTTAATGAGGCTGTAAGCAACCTACTCAGACCCTGTCTCAAAAAATAAAAAAGGATGGGGATGTGGCTTAATGGTTAACTATCCTTGGGTTCAATCCCTGGTTCAAAAAAAAAAAAAAAAGAGGGCAGATCCAAGAGAACAAGAAGTAGGAATGTTTCTAGGGAACTTAAGTAGAAGTCTTGAAGAAGGCATGCAAGGGAAACAGGGCTGGTGGAAGTACTTGGGGAAGCATGAGGAAGGTACAGAACCATATACAGGAAACTACTTCTATGGGTAGGAGACAGTCAGGCATGTTCTGGACCTGCAGTTTGATGCCACTGGAACAAAACATACTTATGTTGTGGGAGATAGGACTAGAGAGGCGGTTTGCCATGCTAGAAAACATTCCTGCAGAAGAACTAACTGGAGAGTGGAGATAAAGGATGAGGGAAATCTGATAGGTAACCACTAAAAAATTCCAGGGGAGAAACAAAAAGGTTTGAGGCGAGGCACTTGGGGTAGAGACTGGTTTGGAGGAGATTTAGTATTAGAATATACAAGGTTTGTTAACTTGAATGTAGGGGATGAGAGTGAGGGTAAGGAAAGAATATTTTTTTGGAGGGAATTCCAGTTCTACTCAAAGGAAATGAAAAATGATGAAGAGACTATAGGAGACTAAAGGATGCTCTGGGTTTCCCCCACTGTGACCAACAAACCACTGGTGATACTTAAGATGTGAGGAAGAAAAGGGTAAACATTCTTAAATATCTATAATTATGTAAATGTATACTATAATTTCTCACACAACTTCATATGCTGCCAATTTAAAGAACAACATTGTAACAGCATAGATAGGAAATCCAGGCTGTAGATAGCCTCACCAGGAAGTGAATAGGCAAACTTTAACCAAAAGGCAAATTACAGCCAAGTATCTAAGTCCCTATTGCAATTTTCACACTGAATTCTGTAAATCACAATGAAAATTATATTGCTAGTCGTGCTCAGCCAACTCTGAAGAGTCACAATGTTTAGTCCCCACTAGACACTTGTTAAATATGCTGAGCATGAAGTGCATACACCGGCTAGCCACGAACTGTTGTCCTTAGTTACCTTCACGGTACCTGCCCTGGCCCTACAGACAATTCATCAATTTCTTTGAAATCAGAGGATTATTTTGTATTTTCTCCCACAGCTGCGCATCAAACTTGGCTGCGCATTCGAATCAAGCGACGTTTTTCAAATTCCTGAAGCCCAGCCCCATTCTAGACGAGTTAAATCAGAAATCTCAGGTGGAACCCAGCAATTCTTTTTTGAAAATTCCAACGTAGTGTCCAGGTTGAAAACTAAATTAGAACCTAGCAACTGTTTTCCTTTCTTTCACCTTGCCTAGGCAACAGTTTTTCCCTTCACCTAACTGTAGCTCCTGCAATTAGGAATCCCAAGTGGTTTCCTAAATTATCCTTCAAAACTCAGCTCACGTTCTCTTATACTAAGAACACTTCTGGACGATTTGCATCCTCCTAATTGACGCCTGGAGTGAGCAGGCCACCCTAGGGCTCCGAAGGGAGAACAAGCAGAATCCTGGCAATGGGGTGGACCGCGGGGAGCCGCATGGGGAAGGTCCGGTCTCTGGGGCCGGGCTCACCTTCTGGTCTGAATTGGGACCCGCCTGGCGGTACACCCCCGAGCCATAGGCGAAAGCCAGGCTCAGCTCCTCGGGGAAGTGAGACAGGATCTTGCGGAAGGCCACCCCCGAGCTGTGCAGCGCCTGCAGCGCCATGGGTCAGAGGCTGAGAGAAACCGAGGACCCTTGGCGGAGCAGGGCGAAGGAAAACAGTAGCAGGGACAAGTGGTTAAGGGTGGGGAAATGGAAGTGGGGACACCCGCTCAAACGTATGACGACTGAGTGGAGAGGTGGGACTTCAAAAACTCGCACGCAGTTGGAGCGGTCGGTCTGTCAGAACCGAAGGTGAGAGGAGCATCGTGTGAGGCTCAGGTGGGCGGCGGTCTTGCAGGCGCAGCTTCCTCTCCTGGCCCCGCCCCTCACGCACACGCGCTTCAAAGGCGCAAGAGGCGGCGCGCGCCGGTGTGTGAGGACGCGGGAGCTCTGCAGAGTCCCCTGGTGGTAGGAGGAGCGCCCTGCAGGCCTGGCTTGAGGCTGCAACTTTAAGCGGGTCTGGGAGATGGGTGGGAGGTGCAGGTTCATGTCAGCTAATTAAACTGCTCTTGCGTCTAAGGAATCTTCTGTAACTCCTCAAGCCACAGTTTTAAGAAATGACTATAAAATCGTGTGTGTTGAAGGTTTTTTCTAATGAAGCAAAGCCTCATATATAGGATTGACTATTCTAAAGTATACAGTTCAGTGCTATTTGTTCTTTAACAATGTTGTGCAACCATCACTTCTTTATGATTTTAAATTGAAGGATTTTGGTGGGGGGAGGCTGGTATTAGGGATTGAACCCAGGGGCATTTTGTCACTGAGTTACATCCCCAGCTCTTTTTAAATTTTTTAAAAAATATTTATTTATTTATTTTTGAGACAGGGTCTCACTAGGTTGCTAAGGCTGTCCTTGAATTTGTGATCCTTATACCCAAGCCTCTCGAGTAATTGAGATTACAAGCGTGTGCCACCGCGCCCAGCTTGAAGGAGATTTTTGAAGGTTTAAACACAAATAAAATTTAAAATATGCCAAATCCCACCATCTGGAGATTAAAAGCTGTTAATATTTGGCTGTGATTTCTTCCTAATAAAGCCCTTTTCAAATCCAATGATGAATAGGAAAGTGCTCCACAAATAGAAAAAGACTGCACACATGTCCTCTGATATTTGAGTTTAATTTTAACGGCAGAGAAGACTCTCTGCCCCTTTGCCTTGGGGATTGGTCTCACATCAGGTGAGACGTGGTTTCTGGATCAAACAGAACCTGAGGGTAGAAAAGATCTTAGAGGTCTCCTCTTCATTTATGACCACAGAAATTTGCTCAAGATCACCTGGAGTTTCAGGATGCAGCTTGATACCCAGGACAGACACTTTATAGCTACTCATTCTGCTCCTATATACTCTGCATCTCAACAATGGGTCAAGCACGGTGGTGTACACCTGTAGACCCAGCTACTTAGAGGGCTGAAGCAGGAGAATTGATTGAGCCCAGAGATTTTGAGGCCAGCCTGGGCAATATGGATCCCATTTCAAAAAGAGGAAAAAAGGAAAAAGAAAGTTGAATATCTAACATTTAGGTAACGTGGGCATATTTTCACATGAATTTCTCATTTATCCCCCCTCTAGTACCCTGTGGAAGGAGGTAATCGATTCTTTTAACAGATGAAGTTGAGGCTCCAAGAGATAAAGCAACAGGCCATGTCACATCATTCTGTAGCAAAACCAGAGCTAAAACTCAGGTCTGGCTCCACCTTGTGGTTCTTTTCACAATTCTCTCTCCTTTCCTTCAGGGGTTTTGAGTACCAACCTGTTGGAGTGAGCTGTTAGCTTAGATTGGTGTAGGCAGAAAAGAGGCTGAGAAATCAGTAACCAAAACTGTTACCCCAAAGCCACCATGAATGAAATGGTGACTCCTGGGTGGTAGAAGCAGAGAAAAGTGAGATAATTCAATAGGAAAAATTAACTCTGGTTAAGTGCTGAGAAATTTGAGAATAGATCAGGGTTATAGCTGTGCAGGGACTAGAGGCGTATGGAGGAGATACAAGGAAATCAGAATATACCGTGTAGTCATGCACCTGGGCACCCAGCATTATAATAATCTCCTTCCAAAAGGGAACTTTAATCAGTTCTGGGTGTGCAGGGGAGAGACCACAGGAAGAAGCATTGTTGCCAGGTCTTGAAGGATGGGTAGCAGTTTATCACACAGAAAACAGGAGAGGTTCCACAAAGAAAGGCACGGTGGCTCATGCTTGTCATCCCAGCAGTGTGGGAGGATGAAGCAGGAGGATCGCAAGTTTGAGGTCAACCTGGCCAACTTAGTGAGGTTCTGCCTCAAGATAAAATATGGAAAGGGCTGGGTTATGTAACTCAGTGGAAGTTCAATTCCCGGGACTGCCAAAAAAAAAAAAAAAAATCGATTGTGACATGGCTTCTCAGCTTCAGCGGGACAGCTAACCTACTGGTCCTTGCTGAAAAGGGGCCACGGAGCAGTGGAGTGGCCTCCCGAATGGCAAGCGCCAAGCCGGCCTGCTGCCACATGGAGCCCAAAGCACAGGCAGGACAAAGCCACCGACCTGCCCTTCTTCTGCCACCAGGTCTGGGCACAGTATGGATACCTACTGCAGTGTTGCAGTCCCATCCCGAGACCTCAACCTTCTGCTTCCTGATGGGCCACCAGAAAATGAAAGTGGGACAGGCTTGAACGAAAGTTGGGACTCAAGAACTGACCAATAGCATTAGCACATCTCCAAGCCCTAATTAGCATAAGCTTGGACCAATAGCAGTGAACCAATTGGTTTATAAATCCCTAGACCAAACCCCTCAGATTTGGAAGACTTGCTATAGAGTTCTCCTATTTGGGGTTTAGTAAGGGGTCTGTCCCTGGGTTTTAACAAATTCTGTTATTATTCTTATTCACCCTCTGTAAGAAGTGCCACAGTTCTTGTCTTCAGAGGTCTGAATCTCATGCAATCTTCATCTGTCAGCAGAAACAGAAAAACTGCCTGTTAGCAGGAACAGGGATAGCAGGGAGTTGAGCTTTTCCTGGAAACTCTGATTTAACTGGCTTAATGATAGATCCTGGGATGGGGTGTGTGGCCTGCTTAGCACGTGTGGGGCTCTCCATTCAATCCCCAGCACCAAAAGTAACAAATAATAGGCATCATTAAAAACTTACTGTGCCTAAGCACTGTCTATACTCTACCCCCCTTTTTCCCCCATTCCAAAGAGTCTGAGGCAAGTTCCCTAAGATGATCATCATTTTTTACCTGTGGAAATCAAGACCCTGAAGGGAAGAGCAGATTATCCATCAGAGTGAGCAGAATGAGAAAGCTGGGCTTGAACCCAGGACTGCCTTATCCACGTCCAGGTCTTTCCCACTGGGTTTAAATCCCTTCTGAAATGCTCGTGATGCGAGAAGAAAATGGATATATTTCAGAAGCAGGAGCAGTGGCCAAAGGCACAGCCTAGAGATGATATAAGGGAGGCAGAAGGGAGACTTTCATTCACAGTGCATTTCATTCTCTCTGTTCAAGCACAGAGATTTTGGTTGGTTCCTATTAGATATCACCCTAGCCCAGATTGCCACACTCACAGTGGGATTGCACTGAACCCCTTCATTGGAACACTGAATTAACCACAGAACCAGGCGTTTCTTTTTAATCTTCTTTCTTTCCTTGAGAAAATAGTTCAAACTCTTTCTTTCCTGTTTGCAGAAGTGAATCCATGCTCAAAAGAGAGTAAACATTATAAAATGTGTATATTATTCCTCAGAGGTTGGCAACAGTGATGTTTGTTACATCAGTGGGTTGACGCCCAGGGTCCCGTGGAGCCCACCATACAGGTGCAGTGGGTCAGAGGTGCAGGGAACCGGCACTGACACCAGCCAGAGTTCACTGGAGCCCCTACAGCCCTAACCTACAACCCCAACCTACTGCTTCCTGCCAGGAGGAAATGAAAGTGGCATAGACTTGAACTAAAGCTAGGACTCAAGAATTGACCAATAGCATTAGTACATTTCTGCCTCATTAGCATAAGATTGGACCAATAGTAGTGAACCAAGTGCTATATAGATCCCTAGACCAGGATGCTCCATTCTGTGCAGGTCTGCTGGTCTCTGCCGAGAAGCTATACCAGAGATGCAGGGCAGAAGCCCCAGGCTGTGTGGAGCCCTCCACAGTGTCTGGGGTGTAGCTAATTTGTACTGAAGCAAGCCAAAATGTCCTGACCTGTTACCCTGTAGCAGCCTGGTCTGCTCACTGGGGATACCTGCTGTAGAAGTGTATTCCTTCTAGTGCCTTCTTCACCTACAATCTCAATTTCTTGCTTCCTACCATGAGAAATTGAAAGTGGCGTAGACTTGAATGAAAGTTGAGACTCAAGAATTGACCGTTAGTGCTACCACATTCCTGGCTCTAACTGGCATAAATTTGGACCAGTCATAGTGAACCAAGTGGCATATGAACCCCTAGACCAGAATATGTGCTATAGAGTCATCTCCTTCACTGCCACTGTAAGGTGTTCGTTCCTGGTTTTTGGGTAAAACCTACTGTTATGTTTACTCATCCTGAGGAAGAACTGTGAAATTTCCAGGCTGCAGACATCAGCATGTCATGCAGATGTTATTGGTCAGCAGAAGCAGAAAACCTTCTGCCTTACTTATTAGCGGAAGCAGGGAATCAGCTTTACCTCAAAGCTCTGGTTTTAATAGGACTAATAATAATGGCTGGGGTGTGTGACTTAGTGATAGGGCACGTACTTAGTGTGTGTGTGTGTGTGGGGGCCCTCTATTCAATCCCCAGCACCCAAAGTAACAAATAATAGGCATCATTAAAAACTTACTGTGCCTAAGCACTGTCTATACTTTACCCTTTTTTTTTCCCATTCCAAAGACTCTGAGGCAAGTTCCCTAAGATGATCATCATTTTTTTAACCTGTGGAAATCAAGACCTTGAAGGGAAAAGCAGATTATTCAGTCAGAGTGAGCAGAATGAGAAATCTGGGGTTGAACCCAGGACTGCCTTATCCATGTCCAGGTCTTTCCCACTGGGTTTAAATCCCTTCTGAAATGCTCATGGTGCAAGAGAAGAAAATAAACATATTTCAGAAGCAGGAGCAGTGGCCAAAGGCACAGCCTAGAGATTAATAAGGGAGGCAGAAGGGAGACGTGGTGCATTTCCGTCTCGCTATGTGAGCACAGAGATTTTGGTTGGTTCCTACTAGATATCACTCTTGCCCAGATGGTTACACTCACAGTGGGATTGCACTGAACCCCTTCATTGGAGCACTGAATTAACCACAGGACCAGGCATTTCTTTTTTAAGTCTTCTTTCTTTCCTTGAGA